GAGTCCTCAAAATAGTACGAGTCCTAAGAACAAGTGCTATTTGAGGTCTTTGAATTCCACAATGCAAGCGAGACTCGCACTCTTCGAGCTCACTTTTAAGACGTTGAAAATTTCTGGTTTTATTGTTTGAAAACATATATTTTGCCGAAAGTCTTCTCAAGATATTCAAATACGTTTTCAGTTCATCGAGCACCAGAAGTCTGTCAAAAAAGTAAAAATGTCCAAATTTGACAAGTTAGTAGACCGCCTTGTTGATTTTTTCTTTTCAAACTCGTTCCCAAGATCTTCATGCTGAAAATGTGCCTATTAATAGCCAATCAAAATGTGCTTAAGAAGATCGCATCCAACGACGCATCAACCCCACGCATCCACCGACGGAAGTAATTAATATTCAGCGTGACTCATGGTGTGATTGACGCATCACTGCATGCAGGAAGAGATGCCGCCGTGCGCTGACTGGCCGAGTCTAACGAGAGTGAAATAGGATAATACTATATAGCGAAGTCGCGTCGAATTACGTAAGCATACAGATATCTACTGTTATGTTCAACGCATGTCACTTGACACCTCACTCAACTTTACTGGTTATCCAAAGCATTGTTGGCAACAAAAGTGTCAGTGTTTGCGTTGCATAGAAACGCTCTATTACTTCGCGTCAAATTCCTCCCTTTTTAGCTTTGCCTTTAGCCAACTCATTGAAAAGGTATCTCCTGTACAGGGAATTTCCAAACCATAGCCGCCACCTCTATTCACACGCTAATTGCCCTTCATCACTGCTTTACTGGAGTTTGGCCCTCTTTAGGAAACGTTGTGAGCCAGATTGCCATTAATTTTGGATCTGCGAAATTTTGCAATCTATATAACGGATATGAGGAGTTAGCTCAATCAGTATCTAAGACAAATTATTTTCTATGCTTTGAAACTCAATGTGAGGACTATTTTAAGCCAACATAGACTGCTAGTAAACGTATATGGTCGAACATATTGCACTTTTCCAAATTTGAGTTGTTAGTTTTTTGTTACCGCTTTGTTTAGTTCTTGCACCAAGTTTGAAAACTCTTTTGTTAACAATTTCTTGATCTTTTTAACGTCTAGCTACTTATTACTGTAATCAGTGATTTATGATTGAACAAATAGACATTTGACCACGCCCAAGGTCTACTTTTTGCATACCTCTATTTCGCGGCCACCTAGCTCTATTAAGCGGCCACAAAGCCGATCCCCGAGGGTGGCCGCTTAATACAGGTTCGACTGTACATGAAGTAAATGCAATGTATTTGTAAAGTGAATGTTAGATAATTTATCACCGACTGCGAAGTTAAAGGGCATATAACACGAGCATTGTGTTATTCTAAATATACTATTATTGGAAATAACTTTTAATTCCTAAAAAAGTCCTAATGCAATTTCAATAGGTAAGTAACATACAACTCTCTATTTCACACTGCACAATGAGTTATGATAAAATTTGAAATATCTTTCAGTTCTATTTTTGAGAAAGCTTTGCCAGAAATAAGGTTCGGTAATCTCAGTTTAATAATTCAATATTAACTCGTCATTATCTGTCGTTAACCGTATCACATCAGCCTCAGTATCTCGATAACAAATAGAGATTTAGAAAAACTTTAGAGTTTTACGACTAGAAATATACATGAATGCAGCAATCCCTCGCTTATTTATAACTTAAAAACTTAAAACATAGTTTCAACAAGAAGTACTTTACAATTGTAAACAACGTTGTGGCCATAGTTGGTTGCCATGAAAATCATATTTTTTGCACTAGGTGGCAAAAGTAAAAATAATAGTTTGAATAAACTGAGTCAATAATTTTGAAACGCCTATAGGACCAGTGAGCATAGGTGCAATTTGTCTGCACATGTGCGAAAACGGCTAAAATTGGATTTCCATGCTTGCAAGAAAAGTTTCGCTGTCGAAATTTTTCCGGTCATCATCCACCTATACTATCCAGGCTCGTGGTTGGTTGATTGTAACAATGAAAAACAATAAAACTATAGAAATCGGTTAGATGGAAAATACGGAGTCGGAGTTCCGGAGTCGGAGTCCCGGAGTCGGAGTCCCGGAGTCGGAGTCCCGGAGTCGGAGTCCCGGAGTCTGACGTCATAAAAATATGGAAAACACGGAGTCATATGGAAAACACGGAGTCTGACGTCAGAGAAAAATATGGAAAACACGGAGTCTGACGTATTGTCAGCGTGAAATATGGAAAATAGTAATTAAATAATATATCATTTATGCGAATATAAACAAACGGACGAATTTATAATATAACAAATTGGAAATTTTCTGCACTAATTCTGGTATTTCTCTAAAATGTCGTGAAAATATGGATTATTTATTTTTAAATACAATCAAGCAAATAATATTGTTTCTCTTGTCGTGTGACTTGTTCAGTTGTACAATAATTTGAAGTGATTTTAATGCGGATTTTGTTCACCTCGCATGGTATGTTGATAAAAATATAGTTTTATATATACTTAATACTGCTAGAATATTTCATAGTCGATTTACATGTAATATTTATAACACACAAAATCTTGACACAAAACAGATATGCTGCTTGAAAACAGCGTGCAATATTGTTATTTACTAATAAATAGATGCAGCCAGCCAACACACAAATCCGTGCAGTATATTAATGGCATTAAAAAAGTTTTCAGGTGTCCAAAAAAATACCTGCACTATAGTGGTAAGCCCATACCAAGTTAATATCTCTAACATATAAGTTTTAGGTTTTTAGACTGAATTAAATATCATGCAATATCATAAGTTGAAATTAATCAAGCCATTGATATTAGTAGTAATATAGGTACCGTTCGACCCCCTTTTTTGTGGTGGCGTGTGGTGGTTTGTGGTGGCGTATCATCATTAGCATAGACTGTGGTGGCGCATCATTATATATGCAAGTAATTACTATGCAAGGGGGCCGCATCATTATATATGCAGGTAATTAAGGGGGCCGCACAATGAGGGTGCGTAATGACGTCACTCATTAAATAGGTCATAATTATATGCAATGACGTCACGCGGGCAGGTTTAAACAAGAACGTGTGAAACTTGCTGACTAAGCATTTTTTCAGCGTTCCCCCACGTGTGTGATACAATAGGGGGCTTAATATTGGCTTGCTATGAATAGCTCGAGTCCCTCACGCGGCAAATCATAATTATATGCTATGACGTCACGCGGGCCTGTCCGGGCGAAATTGGACAAAAATTTGCTGACTACGCATTTTTTAGCGTCCCTCCACGTTTATGATACAGCTCTGGCATTTTGCTGTTATTTTTAAGTGATTCCTTTAATTTAGCTCCTAGAGGAGTAAACAATCTGATATTATATCAAATAGCATTAGTGTTATATATCTAAAACTTATATATTCGGGGTATACAGCTATATGTTTTGTTGTTAAGTAATATATAAATATTATCAAGCGTCAAAACGTTGTTCAACGTTATTTTAGCAAATATTCTACATACATATATACTGTTAAGATGACCGAGTCAGATCATAAGTAAGCTTATCAAGAACATAAGTTAGAATTGGAACAGTTGTAATATATTTTGCAATAAAAACATGTAATCGTTATATACGTTGTTATTTGTTGCTAAGTCATTAGCGACGCTTGCGTGCATGTATATATTAACGTACAACATATTTGTACAGTAATCAGGCGGGCGGATCGCGCGGGTGGAAAAGCGGGCTTTGCAGGCAAAAATTTACACAAGATTTCAGTTTTACAATTATTTCTTCAAAATGTTTTAACAAAATTTAGTACGGTCTACTTTTAAGAGCGTAACGTCTAGGTGATTCTTGCATATCTTCTGGGGATAACCTAAGATATCGAATGATATCCTAAGATATCGAATGATATCCTAAGATACTATATGATATCCTAAGATATCGAATGATATCCTAAGATATCGAATGATATCCTAAGATACTGTATGATATCCTAAGATATTGTATGATATCCTAAGATATTGATATCCCAGCTAAGATATTGATATCCTAAGATACTGATATCCTAAGATACTGATATCCTAAGAAAATGATATCCTAAGGAAATGATATCCTAAGATACTGATCAGCTCGTTAGGCTCGGAGCCAGCTCCTTGGGCTCGGAGCCACCTCCTTAGGCTCAGAGCCAGCTCCTTAGGCTCGGAGCCAGCTCCTTGGGCTCAGAGCCAGCTCCTTAGGCTCGGAGCCAGCTCCTTAGGCTCGGAGCCGAGCACCGTTCTTGGGGACCTGTTTGGCTTTATTGTTTATTCACCAGGTGGCGAAGAGATAAACACGGCAGTCGCCAATAGGCGTTCATAAAGTGGACTATATTCTTATCAAACATTCGTTCTCCAACAATTCCAATTTGTTTCCTATCACTAGGACCTTGGTGGCTCCTATCTCCTATACTCCTAGCCCTACATCGACCCTAAATCGACCTCACATCGACCCTACATGACCCTACATCGACCTCACATCGACCCTACATCCACCCCACATCGACCCCACATCGACCTCACATCGACCCTACATCGACCCTACATCGACCTCACATCGACCCTACATCGACCCCACATCGACCCTACATCGACCCTACATCGACCCTACATCGACCCTACATCGACCCTACATCGACCCTACATCGACCCTACATCGACCCTACATCACAGCCTAAGGAGCTCGGCTCCGAGCCTAAGGAGCTGGCTCCGAGCCTAAGGAGCTGGCTCCGAGCCTAAGGAGCTGGCTCCGAGCCTAAGGAGCTGGCTCTGAGCCTAAGGAGGTGGCTCCGAGCCCAAGGAGCTGGCTCCGAGCCTAAGGAGCTGATCAGTATCTTAGGATATCATTTCCTTAGGATATCATTTTCTTAGGATATCAGTATCTTAGGATATCAGTATCTTAGGATATCAATATCTTAGCTGGGATATCAATATCTTAGGATATCATACAATATCTTAGGATATTATACAGTATCTTAGGATATCAACAGAAGCTTCACAGAAGCTTTACAGAAGCTTCACAGAAGCTTCACAGAAGCTTTACAGAAGCTTCACAGAAGCTTTACAGAAGCTTCACAGAAGCTTCACAGAAGCTTTACAGAAGCTTTACAGAAGCTTCACAGAAGCTTTACAGAAGCTTTACAGAAGCTCTTCCTGAAAGCAACAATACATAGAACCGTGTTTCTATGCAAACTTGAATCATTTGCCGGAGCAGTCATGCAAAGACGATATCGCCGGTCCTGTCCGCCTTGCGGTCGGCCTGATTTGAAGAATATCAGTACACATCTTTTACAAGTTCACGGTTTACAATCCAAGGAGAGAAAACCTTATCTTAAGCAAGCCAAGGTGTCGTCATGGCACCCCTACATCGGCACATCTCCGTACATAAACTCTGAAAAGCAGGGCGAAAAGCGTGTGAGCAGAAGGGCATACTCGTTGCCAACTAAGAAACCGAAAACAGCACAAGCATCTCTGACCACCAAACCCTGTCCGGAATTCAACTTCCGCCATAAATTTTCGCTATTGGTCGTGGGTCCGAGCCAAAGTGGAAAAACATATTTTGTACAACAAATTTTGGAAAAGAATCGTATCGTGTACGATGAGCAAAAACGTATTCGTATTTTTTGGTACTACAACCAGTGGCAAGATTGTTACGACAGTTTGAGAAAATCCCTCGGAAAAAGCATCGAGTTTGAGAGAGGTTTGCCTGAGCTGTCCGAGAACATGAGCGAGATTCATACGCGGTACAACAACATCATCATACTGGACGATCTGATGGCTGGGAGCGACAGATATCAGTATCTTAGGATATCAGTATCTTAGGATATCAGTTTTATTAGGATATCAATATCTTAGGATATCAGTATCTTGGGATATCAATATCTTAGGATATCAGTATCTTAGGATATCAGTATCTTAGGATATCAGTATCTTAGGATATCAGTATCTTAGGATATCAATATCTTAGGATATCAGTATCTTAGGATATCAGTATCTTAGGATATCAGTATCTTAGGATATCAATATCTTAGGATATCAGTATCTTAGGATATCGGTATCTTAGGATATCAGTATCTCAGGATATCAATATCTTAGGATATCAGTATCTTAGGATATCAAAATCTTAGGATATCAATATCTTAGGATATCAGTATCTTAGGATATCAATATCTTAGGATATCAATATCTTAGGATATCAGTATCTTAGGATATCAGTATCTTAGGGTATCAGTATCTTAGGATATCAATATCTTAGGATATCATCCAGTATCTTAGGATATCATTTTTCTTAGGATATCAACATCTTAGGATATAATCCCTATCTATCCATAGGGATACATTTAGTTATGCAAATTTTTTGTTCGCCTAATCCCTTAATTACCTACACGCCACCTAATCACCTGGCAACACATAACAACGCAGCAAAGTTTAAAACATGTTTCTTAATACAAATAATAGACAAAAAATATTACAACTAAGACTGTTAAATTGTTCTACAGGTTATTTCCTTTAAGTATTCTATCTGACTCGGTCATCTTGACCGTATATATGTATGCGGGTTTACAACATGCAAAGAGCGATCATAACAACGGCTTTGACAACCCGGGATTAGCAACTGCTTATTTCTGTTGCGATATTTTTTATTTCTGTTTGGAAACTTATTGCTCAAAACGAGCCATCAAAATTAAAACGAATTTCAATTGCGTGTTGAAAATAAGAGAGGGACTCACAACGTTGTTACATGATTGTAGTGCAAAAAATTTTCTACTGTACCGGGTTCGAACCGGTGACCAAAGGAATACTGAATTGGTAATAACTACAATCCTACCAACTGAGCTAACGGTAGGTTTTAAAAAACTAACTTCTATTTCATACTTTTATACATGCAAACTATGAGAAACCTCCTGTCGTTTTATTACAAATTTGTCAGAAACTAGTTGTGATGCTAATCGATGCCTGCCACGTCTGGCCCAGGCCTGCCCGCGTTAATTGGTCGCGCTACCTGTCACAGTTGGCCCAGGCCTGCCCGCGTTAATTGGTCGCGCTACCTGTCACAGTTGGCCCAGGCCTGTCCGCGTTAATTGGTCGCGCTACCTGGCCAAGGGTTAGGGTTAGGGCCAGCAACGTTACGTCACATATTTTGCATACTAATTACTTTCGGAGATTTTGCATACTAATTACTTCCGTTGCTATATGGGGGTCTATCACTACTCATGCAACAGTGCACAAATTACACGATGACTTTATTATATAAATCAACACTCGTACTCATTGACTTTCGTAGTTTCGTACTGTTGTTCGAATTAATGCCTGGTTCACACTGGTCGTAAGAATCGGAGATTTCCATTGTCTGTGATCATTGGTGTGTAAAATGCTTTCTCTGTCGGAAAAGAATACAATAGATCGTCGATGAATTACGATCAGTGTGAACCAGGCTTAAAGCCTGGTTCACATGTGTCTGCGATGTGTCGGCGGGCTATTGTCTTAGCAGTTCAACCAAATAATTCACAAAAGAATGCATCAACAGCTGTAAACAATGACGTCGCAGGCATACCGCAGGCATGTGAACCAGGCTTAACAGTAATGTAGCTAGATTATAGATTAATTTGTTGCCCAGCCTCCATAGTCCATATATATTGTAGCCCAGCCTCCATTTACACCAATAATGAAATTAGCTCATTCTGGTAACTAGCTCAATTTTGTTGCTTGCAGTGTATCGGATATATGGGTCTTTCAGATCCCAGAATTACCTAATTATTGTAAAGTCTGCATAAAGCAGAAAAGGCTCTGTTTTTATCAATGACCGGTGCCTATTGAGTGACCAAATATTGTCAGCCTAATCCACTTATTTGATTGCTAATTCATGTTACATTACTTTAAAGCACCTGGATTACATGATTTGCCCGTAAAATAGCAGCAATTGATAAAGTTGAGTACATGGACTGAATGTATCAAGCAGAATGCATGTTGGCGATTTTAAGCGATCTTAGGCGATTTAGGAGAAATTCGACAATTTTAACCCGCGATTTAGCGCGATTTTAGGCGATTTAGGGCGATTTACGGCGATTTACCGCCCCAGAGTAGGCCTGGAAGTGATATGACTGATATCCTCATCTACTGGATGTGGAAAATGACAGTAAGTGTTATCTGTGCTAGATATTGGTGAACAAGAAACGCTTTCACTGCTTTTCATATCAGGCATTGAACGCTTGGGTGATTTTGCTCTACTAACGAAGAAGTCACTAAGTTGTGGCTGATGCGCGTCGACCACAACACTAAATTTCACTTTTTCACCCTTGTGCACTTTTTTAACATGGTCGTTTGCCCCCACCCACCCGCCCCGTACGCCTATGAGTAAGCTCCGAAAGCTGTTCAATGTATCAACAAAAACGAGTGCATGTAAAAAATTATTGAATCTGGACAGTTGTTTGTCTATCAATGTGTGCCGTAATTGTGTCGACAAGAATAGTAATTTATTAGACTTATTATATAAAGTTGATTCAGTTCGCGAGCGATTTAATTTAATATTAGTAGTAGAAGTTAATCTAATGGAAAAGAATCAGACAACTGTAACCGAGAAGCAGAGAGGTGGCGATTGTAATCAACGAGAAAACGTCGCCAGAGTTCAAAATCCGGTAAAAATACGCGTTGTTTTCTCAACAAACGATTTTGTATTAATAATCAGTAATCGAGATCAAGAAACCCAAACTAAACCCGAAACTAGTGAGGAAATTTTAGAATCATTAGATGCATTTTCGGTACGTGACATTATTAATAAAGTTTATTTCGACACCCTGTACTTTTAAATATACTCAATGTAATGCTTGTTTGTGTATTTTCACATGGTTTTTGTGTTCTACAAAATTGTGAATATTTTATACTTTGGGGATCACATGCAGAAGTGCCCTTTTGGCACTTTTGAGTCGTTTAGTAAATGGTTGAGGCTATCGAACAAGTACGTAAATCATGCGGTCTAAATGTTCATAATTAAATTTTCAATTGTCTGATAAAAATTTTTAAAGGGGTGTCCTGATTTTGTATCATGATTTTTGCGGATATCGCCATTATGATAATCATGAAACCGCGCCTATAGGAAAATAATTGAAGCCGTTGGTAATTTTACAGGCGTTTTTTGACATGTCACAAACAGAAAAAAAAACAGAAAATTAAATTAATATGTAAACCAGAAATACTTATCTGGCTATCAACAGGCAATAAACATGTAATTATTTGAAACAATATTGCTGTGGAAAATGGCTGGGAATGGATTTTCCGGGCTTTATCTCTCAAGACGAAGTATGCTTAACTACATGTCCCAAGTATATAAACACTTCTCAATTTACAATTTACAACGAAACATTTTCGCCTCTTTTATAAGGACACAAAGTGTGTCAAAAGCAAGCTTATTTTAATGACTGCATAACAATTTCTGCAAGTTGATTGGTCAAGTTTGACGTATTTAGCTGTTTTATCATTTATTAAAAAAATCCTGGTTTTGTGATTGGCTAACGGCCAACTGTGAAATTGTCATATCAACTCAATGGCTAACCAAATCTGGATTTTTCACATTCATATTAGCAAAATGATGTCAAAGAATCAATATGAAAAAAGTTGGACGCGTTTGTGCCATATAACAAGCACATATTTTTTAACGTACACAGTCGGACTCCTCATTGATAGTCGGACGGACCATTGACCCGCTCCCTTAAACACAACATTCAGCGCATACTCTTCTTATTAAATGCGCCTTCCCAGTGTGTCTTGCGCACGCTATTGATGATTTCAAAATACGAGTTGTATTGCTTGGTTGAGATGTCAAAATTTGAGCAGGACACATTGTGGCTTCATATCTTGTGTGGCGATGAAATCTGACATATTTTATTAAGCTATATCCGCCATTCCCCCTTGCATGCTTTTCTTTGATTTGGTTACTGTTTTTTGTAACTCTTTTCTTTGCTTTTAAGCTATGCCTTTCAAACACCGCGACTGGATACGATGTATTAATACATCTATATTTATTCTCAATAGATTAATAATAAATAGATTGATAGATAAAAATCCCATGGTGGTAAAGCCGTAAAGTACGTAGCTACGAGGCATACAGTGACTTACAGTGCATTAACAGATTAAATTGTCATAGTGTTAAAGGTAGCTCTATTCTAGTGGATACTCGGAACGCAACCAAGTAGTTATTTTGAGAACGAGGCATACAGTTAGATTAGCATTAGATCAAATTCTCATGCTATAGATACTGTAGCTCTCAACCTCGTTGTAGTGATTTGACAATGACCGCTGACAACATGCATGGACTTTGTTATGGGAGAAAGGACATGTGTTAGGAAAACGATCGAACAGACTAGAAAGTTATTGTAAAGTTTATATTTACGTTATGTCTCATTATAATGTTCTATGCATGAAATAAAGGACACAACAATGGCATAGTCGGCAGAGCCCGCCTCCGTAATTACCTCGGGTCGGTACGACACCGAGGTCTTAAATTCGGCTCCTATTTTTTTTTATTGTTTTTCATTTGTGTCGAGCCGCGCGCGTAGTCGAAGATCGAAGGGCCTGCGGAGGAGACGACAACTTCCGGTAAATAAGTGTACTTCCGGCAAGCATCTGCCAAAGCGAAACGGAACCCGAAGCTGTCCTTGCACAAAATCCGTCAGAATTGTTCATGACGACCCGCACGCCTATAAATTGAATTATCTTGAAGGTGTTAGTTACCACAGCATTATTAGTCGAGGTGGTAAGAGTGGTGACATGTATAATGAATTTATAGTGAAATAATTTATGCGTACATGAAATTTAACCCCATAGATATGATGTAGCAAATAATTAACTGAGCTAACATACAAACCAGGTTGTCATCACCAATTCATAATAATGTTAGCAGACAATGCCGCGCAAAGTTCAAATTGCGCCAAAATAGTCTGAAGAAGAGTGCATTCTGCTTGACAATCGTGTGTATGGATTCAGAATGGAGATCAAGATCGAACAAACTGGCAATATTTTTATGGCTGCTTATTAAAGAATAAAGATTAAAGATTAATGCGAAGTATTTTCAATCAGTAAGGTTAGGTAATAGTCAAAAGGCTATAGCTTATAGGTATTGCAGCACGCAATCAGTTATTATATTTCTTTAGTATACAGTATGCTAGATACCACGGCTTTCAAGCAGGGCTATCACAACCGCGAGTTGATTGTACAATATTTGTTACTTTAATATACTCATTTCTATATTTTGATACAAGGAAGCACAAGACAAATAACATTTATTTACTTATATATCCCGGGTGGCGCAAAAAAAGTTCAAGCGTTTGATCTATCATAGCGAAA